ATTAAGTATACGTCGACTCGTAAATAAGCATCTATAGGCATAGGTACGAGTCGTACCATGTTGTACCTGTCTATAATATAATATAGGTATCGCCACACTAGTAGGCTCTTTTGGTGCACCCAATTATTATCTGCAACAATTTTATAAATAAACGCTGGACATATCAATCAATTACAATATTATTGTAATTGATGGATATAACCCACTAATAGTATAATAGCATAACCCACTAATAGTATTCAACTATTAGTGGGTTATGAAATAGTCCTACACCTAAGAAAGTGCGATCTGCAGCTTGTAGCTAGGCTTGGGTAAAAATATCGATTACACACACACACACACACATACACACACACACACAACACATATATATATATAACGTCGATATTTATAAATCACGATATATCGATATTCAATATTTATCGTGGAGTATCTAATTCGTATTAATTTCGCTATATTTTAAAATGTGGTATTAATCGACAAAATATTAAGCAACAAAAGAAGCTACAAAACATTCATGTGTCGTTGTCCTTTTTTTCAACATCCAACCGTCCAGTAATATCATTTTGAGCCTTATCGTACTACATTACGCAAAACATGACGATATATCGATATTCATCATGTGAATATATCGATACTGTTTAAAAACATCGACCCGATATATATCGATATGTTGTACCTGTCTATAATATAATATAGGTATCTCCACATTAGAAGGCTCTTTTGGTGCACCCAATTATTATCTGAAATTATTTTATAAATAAACGCTGGACATATCAATCAATTACAATATTATTGTAATTGATTGATATAACCCACTAATAGTATAATAGCATAACCCACTAATAGTATTCAACTATTAGTGGGTTATGAAATAGTCCTACACCTAAGAAAGTGCAATCTGCAGCTTGTAGCTAGGCTTGGGTAAAAAATATCGATTACACACACACACACACACACACACACACACACACACACACACACACACACACACACACACACACACACACACACACACACACATATATATATATATATATATATATATATATATATATATATAATGCCGATATTTATAAATCGCGCTATATCGATATTCAATATTTATCGTGGAGTATCTAATTCGTATTAATTTCGCTATATTTTAAAATGTGGTATTAATCGACAAAATATTAAGCAACAAAAGAAGCTACAAAAACATTCATGTGTCGTTGTCCTTTTTTCAACATCCAACCATCCATTAATACCATTTTGAGCCTTATCGTACTACATTATGCAAAACATGACGATATATCGATATTCATCATGTGAATATATCGATACTGTTTAAAAACATCAACACGATATATATCGATATAGTTTTTCACTTACCCATCCCTACCCGTCGCTATTGCCACGTGAGTAGATAAACGGAATATTGCTAACAGCTAGCCGGACATGCGAGTACGCGTATATGGAATCTATACCTTTAGGCCCTTTTCACATGTATCCGGTCACTGCGCGGTCGCCGTGCCTTGCAACCGTGTTAGCTCTTTCTCATGTATACGGTTTACACACGGTCGCCGGCTATGGTAGTCGCAGTATTATCGAGAATTTTGGGGAACGACAACGTCTTTTATCATGGAACAAAAAAAGATAGCCTTGCTCCTATTGTATCGACGTCGTCAGCGTCGACTTCATTACATACGTCAGAGAATATATTGGATACATCCGTACAATACCTTGAGAAAGGAAAGGGGAGATTTTTACACAAAGTTTGTAGATTTTCGAGAACATGAGGATAAATTTTTCATCTATTTTCGGATGTCAAAGAGCTCATTTGATGAGTTACATGGACGTCTAAAAGACGCTCTGCAGCATCAAAGCATCGTAAAGGACTGCATCGAGCCTGTTGAAATGTTGGCAGTTACTATTAGGTAAGTAAACAAAATAAGTAAAATATTAATACCCTTTAGTTTTAATAAAAACTATAAAACATATTAATTGACAATTTGATATATATATATATATATATATATATATATATATATATATATATATATATATATATATATATATATATATATATATATATATATCAGTTGGCAAAATCAATCTCAGAGAAGTCGGAGCCTGCGTAAGATGATTGAGAGTCGTTCGAAGACGGATTTTCGGAATAGAAGTGCTCATAATATTAACGTGTACTTGGTGATATCATATTTCCTTCCGCTTGTTTTTGTATTCCTTGAGGTTCATAGTATATTCTAGATGGATCAGGTAACATCGATTGAGATAGTGTCGGGCGGAATACTTGGATAGTAAAAGATTGAAGTTGCGGTGCATTAAGACGAAGAATTTGTTTAATTAGTTGTAATATTCCCATTTGGAATTTAATTATTTCGTCTTCACTGAATGATGACAATGAAGGTATTATTCCTTTAAAAAAACACAAATGCCGGTCCTCCGGCTTCTCTAAAATATGTAACAATTTTTTGTCAATTTCATCTATCTTTCGTTTACGTGAACCGACCTGTTGTTGAGATGATGGTGGTGATTTAAACTGGATGCTACAATTGCTTTCCGTACTGTCTTCAACATTATTTCCTCTTGAAAGTTTTTCTACCCGATCAGTAGGTAGGCTACTCTCTGTGGGACGTTCACAAAAATTTTTGTTTAAAAACTGTAATTGATCAAAATAAACATATTTTCGTATAGTAGTAGCACCGGCTCCCGATTTTTTTACATACTTTTCTTTGTTTAATGATTTGTGATAAGAATCTCGGATATTTACCCGTCGTTTCATTACTTCTTTACCTGGAAACAATATAAAAAAAATACAAATGCTATACAGCACCATTATAACATTGCCCTGATCCCATGGTAAGTATTTATTGTTCATTTTTTGTTTCAGGTACTTAGCTAGCGGGTGTACTTTCACAGACCTACATCTTAACTACAGACTTGGCATTTCAACAGTAAGCAAGATAGTAAATGAAGTATGTTTTAGCATTTGGCGTGTTATGCTACCAGACTGCATGCCTACACCTAGTAAAGAGATGTGGGAAAAAATATCCGAAGAGTTCGAAAAAAGAGCCAATTTTCCGCATTGCATTGGTGCAGTGGATGGGAAACATATTAGAATTATTAATCCACTTTGCTCAATGTACTACAACTACAAAGGATACTCCTCAATAGTTTTGATGGCCGTAGCAGACACAAACTACCGCTTTGTCTATGTGGACATAGGAAGTTACGGTAAAGATTGCGACTCTTCAATATTTAAGAGATCATCGCTGTGAAAATCAATCATAAGGAATGAACATGAACTACCTACTAAAAATGTATTAGCGAAAGACGTTGAAGTTCCATATTTTCTAGTTGGTGGCGAAGCATTTTCACTTCACCAACTTTACTTCGTCCGTACGGTGGATGTAATCTTGCAATTAAAAAAAGAATTTTTAACTACCGCCTAAGCAGAGCTCGCAGATATGTAGAATGCACCTTTGGCATCTTGTCTAATAAATGGAGAATATCCCACAGACTAATTAACGTCAAACCTGATTTTGCAGTCCCGATCGTCAAAGCTTGCGTTGTACTACACAACTTTGTTCGTGATCGAGATGGTTACCAGGTGGAGGACACAGATTTTATTACAGGACTAGATGTCCCAAGACAAACTCAGTCACGCGGAGGACTTACACCAAACAATATACGAAACATATTGAGTGACTATTTTGTATCAAATATAAGGGCGGTCCCTTGGCAAATGTCAAAAATATAATGTAATAAAATAACTCACCAAACATGTTCTTTTCATTATCATCTAATTCTTTGAAACTACTATTTAATCCTATACATACTTCTTTCCACGCTTCTTTTGTCTCGTTCCTGTTTTTATAAGATGCGATGGTTTTATCCCATAAAGTAGGACGCGCTTCAACTAGCGAGATCAACACATCAACATCGATTTCGACAGACATTCTGCAACAAGCGTCCGTCGTTCCCCTACGATTTGCCTGTCGAATGGTATTTGCGCTCGCAATGCCGTACCGCGCCCGTGTTCATGTGAACGCGTCTATACAAGTCCATAAAAGACTATAAAGACGGTTGCCGCGTCAAAACCGTGCTTATATTGGATAAGGACGGCTGACACGCGGCCACGGCACGGTCGCCGTGCCATGTGAAAGTTCTCATTGTTGGTTATATATTACCACTCTACACGGCACGGCGACCGTACCGTGGCCGTGTGCATATGAAAAGGACATTACACAACGCTCAATAGTGTTGAGTTCGGATATACAATAAAAATATATGCAGCCGTATTAAGGAGTTCAAAGTATACCCGTTCGCAACAATTTTCCGGGGTATACTTTCATGTAGGACACTACATTTTGCTATACTATAATCTATACCCGTTTCAGTGTCTCAAAGAATACAGAGACAGACAAAGGGATGGTTATTTTTATGTAAATACAATTGGCATGAACTAAAAAAGGAAAAATAAGAATTTAGCGCGCGTTATGAACATTCATTTTAATATTCTGTCCTAAGTCACGCTTTCGTTTAGTTTTGCGTTCTGTGTTAGACGGCCGCCCAGCTTGAATCCTAGACTTCATCTTTCCTATTCCCCTGTCTTTACGTTTTTTTTATAGGATAGGGTGACAAACGAACACACAGTCCACCTGATGGTAAGTGGTTGCTGTGGCCCATAGACATCCACATCTATCCTCGATTACGAATCAAAATGCAAATAAGTTATCACCCGTGAGGACTAAGATGGAATGCCTCGTTTCCAGTAAAAAGTGTCTCCGGTTCTCTACACTCACCATACGAAATACAGCAGCATTAACCTACTATTTCACGTTGGTATTCTGTGAGAGCGTGGTCCCTCCCCGGTCGAGCCGACCCATTCGTGCCACAACTATACTTCTAATATAACTGCAGCATGGCTCTACCACGTATAAAACGTCTACTTATGGCTGTGCTTTGAACATTAATTTTTCTTGGTACACGCCTTGTTATTATCTAACGTAAAATGAAGTTTTGTCCTTGCTCTGACGTATTTTTGTGAATTTCGCTAGTGCTCTTAGATTGTGGACAGTGGGGTTCGTTTCAAATAACGCTGTGAAGCGTTTTACTTCAGACTTAAATTCAGCAAGTGCATTATTATACTGGTGCGGAAATTCTACAGCAACCTGTTGTGAGTATGACGAAGAATTGTCCGCATCCTGTGTCAGCTCTTGTGTGTTGGAGGAAGAGCACTGTGGTACTATCGAGTCCAAATCATTGTTTGGTGTTTGATCCAATCTCAGCTCCATATTCATATAAAAATTTTCATTTATCTCATCCCCCATCGCAATTCTTGCTAGTGATTTTTTTTTTATAGAATAGGGTGACAAACGAGCACGCAGTCCACCTGATGGTAAGTGGTTGCTGCGGCCCAGAGACATCTACATCTATCCTCCATTAAAAATCAAAATGCAGATGCGTCGCCACCCGTGAGGACTGAGATGGAATGCCTCGTTTCCAGTAAAAAGGGTCTCCGGTTCTCTACACTCACCATACGAAATACAGCAGCATTAAGCTACTATTTCACGCTGGTATTCTGTGAGAGCGTGGTCCCTCCCCGGTCGAGCCGACCCATACGTGCTACAACTATACTACTAATATAACTGCAGCATGGCTCTACCACGTAAAAAGCCGTTTTTCTCGGCTGTCTATTCATGATATTCTATCATGAATAGACAGCCGAGGAAAATTCGGAAATATAACCCCAAATTTTTGCTCAATGCTACATACGTGCTTGCAAAATCTTCCACATTTTCCAGCATCACAGTCGCAAACAGCTAAATCGGCTCTGACAGTGTAAAAAGTATTTGAATTTGTCTCTGATTCTATACTGTACTCATTATCGTTGACTTTAGAAATATTTTTAATATTTCGAGCAGTTTTCATGAACATTGCTTATAAGGAATCCTTGGTTTTTCGCGTGTTAGCGTAAGAAATGATGTGGCGCTGAAAATAGTTCTCAAAAATGGAAGTGATGAAATTTACCAATGCGCAAGCATTAAATGCTTTACAGCGCTGGAGTATCACGTCTTTAAGAATGCGTATAGATGCTTCTGTTATGTTGTTAGTATCGTTTCCTCGCGTAAGTAAATTCACCCACCCTACCAGAGATACACCATTCTAGTCGCCGTTCCGATAAGTTACTGAGATGATTTAACAGAGCTGGCATCTTCTTAATATACTCGTCCATTGTCAATCCCTCATAGAATTTTACTGTTTCTTCTGGATCAGTTATAAAAAGAATATTTCTAAATCTCATCATGATTGACTGTCTTTTCATTATGTCAACTTTGTGATCTGTAACGCAAAGCCATCGCCAAAAGGCTTGACATATATGAAATGCGCACAATATTAATCGAGCATTTGGAAAAATGGTTCTCAAAGCATTTCGTTCTGCAGTAGAATCATCCGTCATAACAATATCAGGCTCAAATTTTTACTCATCCCGTTCTTTTCTATAGCTTCTTTAATGGTGGCAAAAACCAGTATGTAATTGGATTCATTTTGCTCGGTATGTATAGCACAAGCCAATGGAAGACCGCCAATTTTGTGAGATGTAAAAACTAGAGTAATTGCAGAACTGGTCTGGTCACACGATGATGTTCTGTCTACAAATATCATATTCTTATATGCAGTATATAGAAAGACCCGTTTCATTATAGGCGTAATTATGACAATAATCCTGTGATTTGTTTCGACAGTATCGTGTAGTCTTTCTCATTTAAACTCTCAATTTTCCCTCGCATGATTTCGGGGAGATTGCATTCATTACGGTCACCATATTTTTCAGCACGCCATTTATTATACATGTAGTACACATGATTTTCAGAAGGATTTATTTGAGAATTCGACAGCATCTCTATTCCATTTACAGCAGTATCTTGAAAAGAGTCCAGTATGTTCAATTCATTATAATTTATTGCTGCACAAGGTGTCATCCCACTGTTGAAATATTTTTTAAACCTTTCTTCGGTTTCCTGGTTGCATTTTAGTAAATTCAAAGCTTCGGCAACATAAACGCGATGAGAGTGTTCAAAAACTATGTTCACTAACACATTATATCCTTTCAATAATAGTTTATCGTTTCGAATAGTGTCCTTGTTGACTTTTTTGATAACAAAGTCTACGAGTATTTTAGCCTTACAGTTTTGTCCACGTGACGACTTATCAGATTTTTTATTGAACGATGAATGTTGACATGTATAAATAAGTTTTTCGAAACAAGAAGCGCTTCAACGAAGGATATGACTTTCGAACTATCCAGTTCGTTTTCGTATAATTAGAAAAAAAATTTTACAAACTCGTAGATAAACTTAGCATATCGTTCTTGCTCTTCATTTTAGTCAGCTTTCAGTCTAAATTGCATGAAGTACTTTTCACGCGATTCAAAATCTAATTTCTCAATAAGTCCACAATGTTCAGTTATAAACCCCTCTAAACCGGCTTTATCTATCATTTTACACACTTTTTACACTAAGAGAATCACAAACTATATAGTTATCACTCGATAATATACTTCACACTTTGCTATGCACTATATTTCCTATTTTTTTAAATTAAAAACACTGGAAATCACAGAGTTTAACAGTACTAACTCGCACGTAATAAAAAATATGCAACAAACGAAATATTGCGTCAGCCAGCGGTCGAAAAGGAAAGAACGATTGAAATAGTAACGTGATAAAAGAGTATCCAGCGATTGCTTTGTTGCGGTCAGGTATGTTTTAAAATAACTGCGCGGGCGTGACCTAAGCCTAAATGTATACCCGATTTCAACACGCACCAGTGTTAGGTAAAGGTACGCTCTAATGAAAAGATTTTCGCTTTCTGGATTTAAAAATATACCCGACGGCAACACGGTCTCTGACGTCATAAGCGTTGCGTGAAGGAATAGATTCCATATACGCTGCGATGACTCCGTGCGCGCCGATCGCCCGCCTGCGTCTGCTTCATCCCCTTAAAACCTACGTGAACACGATAGCATTTCATCTTAATAGCATTTCTTTTACGGATTCCATTGCTTTTAAAGAGTTACGGGGGGAGGGGGGAAGGGAATGATGACATGACTATGGATGTTGCAAATAGCACTCAAAACGTCGGGAGTTACAAAACATATAGTCGTAGTAGTATTCGCGTAAATATAAGAAATTATTATTTAACAACATTTACAACTATGAGGTCGTTAAATTAAAGGAAAAGAAGGTGCTACAATTATTATTGAGTCTTAAAAGACTAGCTATCATTATCATCACATCTTTTCCCTTTTTCTATTCCATTAATTCATTCCTTTAAAATTACTTTTGCCTACTCTAATACAATTATTTTACGACTGCTTTGATGTTTGAATATTCTGTCCCTGTGTTAGCGGTGTATACGAATCGTCGCATTGTCTCATCCACTTACTATGTCCCGTAGGAATCGATTAAAATGCCGACAAGAGCTCGTCGCATCCGATATGTACCGCAATAGCAATTTAATACGTGCACGTCTAAAATACGTAAAATAGCGATCAGCTTATAAATTCAGACATAATATCTGGTACAGCAAGCGCCATTTCACAAGTTGTACAGTGAAAGTATTAAATCATTGTTTGAATTCCTTAAATCATTATTAGCAAAGAGAGCTGATATAGAGAATTTTGGATTTAAATTTATTTTCTAAAATTATCCCCTGTTTTGCTGGTCTTATGCCTGTATTTTCCAAGAAGTTGGTCATCACTGGAAATCAGCGTTGTGACTTACCGCAAATTACGCTGCGTGGTACTTACCTTTTTACAAAGATGTTTTATTTTTATTTTTATGCAGTCTTTATATATTTGTATATTGTCGTGTTGTGTGCGTCAATAGTTTATACCAAAATAAAGAATTTTCTTTCTTTCTTTCTTTATTAGGATACTACATAAATTATTTGACTTAACTTCGCTATTTCATTAACGAATCACAAATCTGATAGAATACATATAATTTCCTTCACAAGAAAATGTCAAGAACAGATTTAGTACTAACGAGTTTAAAAAAATGTATGACATTTCCCTAGAAAGTCAAATACAAAATAGAGAAACCGACAGAAGAAACTATAGAGAAATACTCTCTATGTTACTTCGGCCAGATTATTTCGAACATTATCAATAAATTTAAAAGCGAAAAGCTTTTTATAAAACTCTTCTAATTTTTATTTATTGTTAAATTGCAAGTTCTAAGTAACAACTTATTAGTTTTACAATGATGACATTGCTAGTGCCTAGGTTTTGCATCGGCAAAGAAATTTAATTTTACTATTAATTTGTTTTTATAGACATTGTATTTTATCAAACATTTGGTTTTTGACGATCGACCAATAATGAAAAATCCCTACGGATCTATAAACCACAATTTCAGAATCTGGTAAAATGAATCAGTGCATGGGTAGATGCGCTGTGTTTGCTAACAGCCTAGCCTGCAGGTGTGATAAATATAAAAATATTTGACTACCGGGTTCTGGAGCCATGGTAGCTCAGATGGTTAACGCTCGCTGTAAATATAACAGAACGCGAGTAACTCGGGTTCGATCCTCGCAATTGCAATTTTAAGTGCTGATTTACCACGTGCTCTACGGTGAAGGAAACATCGTGAGGAAGCCTGCATGTCTGAGGAATAAGAAAAAAAATATTTCGAAGAAATGTGAAGTTCGCCAACACGCGTTGGGTAAGCGTGGTGGACACTTCCTTGCTCTAAAACCCTCTCAGAAATGAGGGGGAGGCCTTTTACTTTTTTACTTACCTGGTTCTACATACGTAATAGAGCCATGGTGCGGCTATATTATGGTTGTAGCACGAATGGGTCGGCTCAATATACCAACTCAATGGCGCTGTGCTTCGTATGGTGAGTGAACTGGAGACCGGTTCTCTACACTCACCATTTACAGGGAACGAGGCGTCCCATCTAAGTCCTCAGGGGTGGCAATGCATCTGTATTTTAATTCCTAATCGAGGATAAATGCGGATGTCTATTGCGCTATGTGGTTGTTTGTAACCCTTATTATATATAAAAAAAAACTCGTTTACAATGTAGCAGTCCCGATTCTGACCTTTATGGTCAGAATCGTGCTACATTCGGTCCCTATAATCCTGTCCTGCACAGATGACTAATCTCTGTTGGGATGGATCACTGTGACCTAAATTCGTTCTGGTGGATATTATTATGGGATCATTTTCAATTGTTTTAGAAATTTTAAATTTTGGCTACTCTTAGAAAGGTATCCGCCCAGCTGTACTGTGTGTACAGACCGACCAGAAATTTGAACCGGGGACCAAATGATGAGCACGTGAAAGCAGTCACACTAACGACAACAAGACCAGCGAGGCAGTCGAGTTGCAATTATACGAGAATATGCTAATTTACCACTTGCTCGACGGTAAAGGGAAAATTGTGAGGAAACCTGCACGCGTGAGAAATGAAATATTTTGAGGATATGTGAAGTCGGCCAACACGCACTGGGGCGGGTTAATTGCTCCTCAACCCTCTCTGAGGAGGATTATGCCCGGCAGCGGGACGTGTATAGGCTGTACGTCTATTTATCTGTCATCATCATCATTACAGCCCTTCACAAGTCCACTGCTGAACATAGGCCTCCCCCAAGTAATGCCACAAAGCACGGTCCTGAGCCACCTGCATCCATCGACTTCCTGCATGTCTTACTAGGTCGTCATTCCATCTAGTGGGGGTTCGCCCTACATTACGCCTACCAGTACGAGGCTGCAACTCGAGAAACTTTCTTCGCCATACGTTGGGCTATGTCAGTCACTGGTTTTACTGCGGATATGCTCATTTCTAAGTCTATCACGCAGAGAAACTCCGAGCATAGCCCTCTCCATAGCTCGCTGAGCGACCTTGAGCGTCCTCATACGGCCATCACTGAAGGACCACGTCTCAGATCCGTAAGTCATCACTGGCAATACACACTGGTTGTAAAATTAACCTTATTTATATTCTGTACGTTACAAAGTCACAAACATAAACCTAACTTTAAAACGAACCATCTACCTACAATAAGAATGACCGGTACAAGCTTACAGAGATATGAAAACAAATCGACACACTTTATATAAACTATAAAAACATATATAAAACCCTTAGCGTACACTACTTAACCTGTAAATTACGTACTCGGAAGCAGTATTACGCACACTTGAGTTAATTAAATATCTAGCTAACTGGCTTGACCGGTGCGACTCTAACGTTTTGTATCAAAATACTGGCTCAGATTATAAGTACGACTAGAATCTTTCCAGTTAATATGGTGTAAAAAAATTAAATTTACCCATAATTTTGGTTTTCGATTCATCTGCTATATTGTTTTTCTGTTTCCAAAATTCTGTCAGATGTAATCTTGCCCCCAAAAGTAAGACTAACAAACTTTATTTTGCTTCTATAAAAATATTATAAATGCCATCTTAAATTAATCATAGATGTGTTTTAGGAGGCGTAGATCCGTATTTTCCGATGCTCTGTATTAAGACAGTATAAGAAGAAACTATCCTAAAGTTTTACTCGTAACATTATGGATATAGCCGAAGTAAAATTACACCGAAGCAACTCTTGTAAGAGTTGGTAGCGGGCACGGAAAATTCCTCATTTCCCAAAAAAAAAACAGTTGCTGTCACGTCTGTCGTCAATCTTTGTCACTTATATATTATAAAAAATACAAAAAGCAAATGCTCTTAGTATATACCAGTGATGAGAAGCATCGTGAAGAAATCGTGCGTTACGGTTGTATAGTGATCTCCAATCCGATTTCTGAGCGTGTCGATTATGCCAATTTCAGAGGTGGCTTATGAACGAGAAGAAAAAGATTATTTCGCCAAATTTTTGGTCCTATAATAAGTCAGTGCTTGACCACAATGCCGCTCACAGTAAATGTTAATTCGCAACACCTAAAAGACCTATCCAATCTTGCCATAATGACACCCACGTTTTAAATGGACGGATATACGATGCCGGCAACTTATTTCAGTCCTTTGTTTCACGATAACGAAAGTCGAAGTAAACCGTTTTTTCCGAATGATAACAAAAATGACATAAATAATAAGTGAGTAAAGGTCCAACAATGGAGAGGAGGAATAAAGGGGAGGAATTAATTTATTCGGCACCTTGGAATAATCGTATACGCTGATTATATATATTAAAAAACATTTTTTTTTTAAATTACATATAACAATTTCATATACCACCCCAGGTGAGGATCCTTAGTAGTATAAAAGTATTATCAAGCAATTTTGTCAGACTAGTACTGATGACTCACGTTTATTTTAAGCCCCTGTGTCTATTACTTTAATGGAGGATTTAACTTAAAGTCATTTTAACCCTATCTATTGTTGTAGTGTTTTCTTTCGGAATTTTATCGATATTCTGTCCAAAGTTATTTTTATAATATAATATATAATGCCAACTAGGTTCATGTACATAGTTTGAGATAATTTAATAAAATACAATAAATCAGATTGATAATTGTTTTATTTACATATTTTGTAACAATTATTTACATTTTGATGTTACAGCTTATTTATTACAATTAATATTACATCTGGATGCTTGGCAGCCCACCACTGTACGTTTCCCTAGGAGTTTCCTTCCGCGTACGACCTCTCTGAGGAACAGTTTGCCACCGGCGATTTTTCCGGACCGATACAACCTGGGGACCTTCAAGAAAAGAGCTTACTCCTTTCTAAAATGCCGGCAACTCACCTGCAATTCCCCTGGTGTTGCAGTTATTCATGGGCGGTGGTAGTCACTTAACATCAAGTGAACCGTATGCTCGTTTGCCCCCTCTTCTATAAAAAATAGTATTATAAAAGTTATTTAGAATTTCATACGGTAGCTATATTAGTAGTATAGTTTTAGCACGAATAGGTCAGCTCAATCGGGGAAGAACCACGCTCTCACAGAATACCAGCGTAAAATAGCATATGAAATTTCATATGGTGAGTGTAGAGAACCGGAGACACTTTTCACTGGAAAGGAGGCATTCCATCTTAGTCCTCACGGGTGACAATGCATTTGCATTTTGATTCATAATCGAGGATAGATGAGTCGATACATATCAAAAGTGCTTAAGTCCACTAAACAAATTTTTTGATGTTTTTTATTAAGGTAATTTATGTGCACAAAATAAAAACGTTGTTTTAGATCAATTCTAACTAAGTCCACTATTTCTCTTAAAAATAATGCTCCAAATTCTACGTTTCTTTTCAAAATCGCCTAAGTCACAATGTAATTTTAAATCAAACCCGCCAAAGTCCTCTTCAACCAATGACAGACAGCTCTTCTCAGTGTCATGGCTGCCATTGTTGTCGTAAGTTCTCGGCGTGCGTATCGTATCCTTAGATTTTTATTAAATAATGGAAGATATAATAAGAGTTGTGAGACCTGAATTAGCTAAAAAGAAGGCGAAGTTAATAGGAAAGGAAAAACGGAAGAAAAAGCAGCAGGATTTATAAGTTTCTTTGTTTAATTTTGTATTGTTTTAAGTAGGGCTATAGCGACGTGGTTATTGATACCGGTCATAAACAGGGGCGGACTCAGATGGACTCGATAATTAATATTTTTGTATGTAATTCAGTGCTAATTTCATTACTATTTATTTTACTTAACTATTCATAACTATATCGATTGTTTTTAGTACATTATCCCATATATTATTCCAATACATGCGTGCGTGCCGTATGACATGGGTATGCCTGTTTACTTAGCGCATATTATGCTTTATAAATTGTATGCATTATTAAAAAAAATCCTACTTTCAGGTACTCCGCAAAAGCCTTACTGGAGAAACCCAAGTGTCAAAACAACAAAAAGAGTGTATATAAATGTGAAACGTTAACTTCAAATGATATTTTTTACTTTCATAAAAAGTTTTATAGCCAGTCTAACAAAATTAGTCAAGATAATAATATTTTGCAAAATTTACTCTTAAGACCTGTGAAAAGAAAACGCCCAAGAAATAATACACGAAACGGGCGTGCTTACTCAAAACAATATTTTATCAGCAAGTACAAAACTAAAGAAAAAGTCCCGGTCTGTCTAGCTACATTTTGTGGAATTCTAAAAATTAAACAGGGTCGTATAAAAGGCGTTTCAAATCGATATGCAGCCACAGGAGATATCCCATCAGAAAAACGTGGAGGAGATAGAAAACATCATGCTTTCCGTTCCAAGAGAGAAGCCATACAGAACTTTATAATGAAATTTCAACCGTTGGAAAGCCATTATTGTAGGGGCAAAATAAAACGAAGAGTTTATCTTGATACAAGCTTGAACATTTCGAAATTATACAAAATTTATGAAGACCAATCTATGCCAGGATATTCTGTGACCAAAAGCTTTTTTAGAAAAGTATTCAATACCTCCTTTAATATTGGGTTTGGGTCTCCACGCCAAGACGTCTGTTCGGACTGTTTGCAATTATTAGAAAAACTCAAAATGGAGAAAAGTGAAATTGAAAACCAAAAATTGCGTACCCAATATAGGGTTCACAAAATAAGGGCAAAATGCTTTTTTGACAAATTAAGAGAAGATAACCAAGATTTGCTAATTCTGTCATTTGATTGTCAGAAAAATTTACCTCTACCGAAAGTAGCTGATCAATCAGCGTATTATTCTCGACAATTTAATTCATATGTATGGACAGAAGATGTGGCATCAAAAGGTGCCAACGAAATTGCGTCCTGTTTATATCATTGCCTGAATCATTCAAATCTTGATGGCAAAACGAAGATAAGGCTTGTGGCTGACGGTTGCGGCGGCCAAAATAAAAATTCGATATTGCTCGGAATGGTCGCTAAGTGGCTGCATGATACACAACATAGTATAGACCAGGTGGAGATAGTCTTTCCCGTTACAGGACATAGTTTTATTCCACCAGATCGGGTGTTTGCTATGACAGAAAAAGAAATAAGACGATTAGAAACTATAACAAATCCTGAAACTTACATTGACATTATGGGTTCCAATGCTACAATCCGACGTTTAGTTACTGAAGTACCAATTTTCGATTGGAAGTCTGCATGTCGAGATGTTTTAAAAAGCACTCAAACGTTACACTTTCAGATAAGTAAAACGAAGCGACATTCTGAATTATCGTCGATAAAACAGAATGTCGCAAAATCTTGGTTCGGGGAGAAATTTCATATAGAAATGATATTTGCAATTCACTAGCCATAACTAAGCGTGGGAAATCTTTTTCTAGAATTTTACCGAACAGAATAGAAGCATGTTTTAATGTTAAAACTGAAAAACTAACAGATGTTACTTTAGTAACATCTGGTAGTTACTACTTGAAAAACATTTTGGTGAAGACTGGAAAGACTTACCTGACTTGCAATATTATAAAAATGTATTGTTTCATAACATGAGTTTGCCCCAAAAAGACGATGATGCAATAAATGATGACTCTGATTATCTGCCCGATGAAATTTTAGATTTTGTATAATTAATAATAATTAAACGCCATTAAATTAATAAATAATATTTTTTTTGATTTAATTTCTATTTTTTATTTGTTTTTAATTTCTAATTTTTATTTTCGTAGGATAGGTCCCAAGTACGCCCCTCTATTTGTCCATCTGATGTAGATGTCTATGGGCCATAGTAACCACTTACCATCAGGCGAACTGTGTGCTTGCTTGTCACCTTTCTCCTATAAAAATTACCTTAAAAAATAGCAGTTTTGAATATTTAACGACAGTCTTACACCGATATTTGCTTTTTAAATATCGATAGAAACAGAAACTTTTTTATTCAATATGGATTGTCCACCACTGTACGTTTCCCTAGGAGTTTCCTTCAGCATAAGACCTCTCTGTGGAAGAGTTTACCACCGGCGATTTTTCTGGACCGATACGACCTAGGGACCTTCAAGAAAAGAGCTTACTGCTTTCTAAAAGGCCGGCAATGCACCTGCTATTCCCCTGGTGTTACAGTTGTTCATGGGCGGTGGTAGTCACTTAACATCAAGCGAATCATATTCTCGCTTGCCCCCTCTTCTATAAAAAAGAGTATTATAAAAATTATTTAGAATTTCATGTAACTTTTTAAACCTTAAATAAATAACGAGAACGAAAAGAGGCACAAAATTTCGTCAAAATTGGTGGGAAACCATTGGGACTGGAAACCAGCAGATGCAATTTTGGTAGCCTAAGAGTTCCTCTCAGCTAGTTGTGGCCTAAAATGTCATCATCGCAAAAGGAACGAAAAGCATCATATGCCGAATTGTAAAACTGAACCGAACCAGTTCGCTCAGGCACAAAATTCTCCTCCTAGCCTTAAAAGGAGTCCATTGGAGATATTCAAACTGGAGGTTCTGGCTGTCTAGCCGAGTAAGACCATCCATTCATCTCCATGCATCTCGCTTGCATCCTCTCTTTCCATTCTGTTTCCTCCCTGACTATTTATTTTGGCTCTAGCAGTATCTCCTATTCTCATCTCCCTCCTCCTCATAACATACCTCGCCAACGCACACTAAAACCACAACAATACCAATCCACACGTTCGTGGTGTAGTTGGGTACGTGGGCCCACCCCTTCTTCCACTCTGCCACCTCTCACCCGTTTTCCGGGACACAAACATATAAAATACGTCGTCCATGACGACATCATCCGCGGCGACATTAACCACGTCATCCACGCTGCCGTCTTCATTTAAAATTTCAATAACCACCATTAGTTCACTGCCAAAAACTTACCTTTACTCCACGTCAATTTCATCAATAATAATAAAAAATAAATAAAGAAAACTTACGACTCATATGACTGGTATGGTCTAGGAGACCTGTTACGGCCTTCCTGTGATGTGTCACGGAAACGATTCTCTTTCTAAAACATAGGTGCAAACAAAAATATCCATGAAAACCACTTCACCAAAATATACAAAATTCAGTGTGTATCAACACAAACATAACACAAAAAATATATCACCTCAAATCCGACTGCTTCCACATCATCACCGGGCTGTTCGCGACGTCCAGGTGTAGGAGGAGAGTAAGTCTCAGGTGACAACGCGCGCGCGTCCTCCACCTAAACATACAAAAATCTAATAATAATCTATTCCGCACATCTTCCTCTTAAAACATGCAATAGTGTGCTTGTTAAACCATTAGAACCGAAATTACAAAAAACGCAAAACAAGTGTAAATCAGACAAAGAAAGTGAGATTAGTGCAAATCAAAACATACATAATACCAGTGTTAAACCAAGCATGAAAAACATAATACCAGAGGTATTATCGGCATATAAAAACATATTATTTAATTTATTTAAGTTGACTGATATAATTAATATTGTTATTATCGAGCAAGTCTAACCGATCACTGAGTACAGACGAATCAATACTTATCAATATATATGATCAGTTCTCTAGAAATGAATGAATGACACATTTACTATTTTATTATTTATATTTGACAATTAATAATAATTAATGTCTACATAAACCCCTCTAAAAATATTTTAAAAGTAAGTAATTTTAATATTTTAAGTGTGGTCCTTCCCCGGTCGAGCTGACCCATTCGTGCTACAATTATACTAGTAATAGCATGGCCCTACCATGTTTAAAAATTTCCTTTGTCTAGTAATATTTACTTACTATCTAAATTTGTCTTATGCAAACATACTCATTAGCAACAAAATACGTATTAGCGGCATATAAAAAACATGTCATTTAAGTTGACTGATATAATTAATATTGTCATTATCGAACGGGTATAACAGATTACAGACTCAGATGAATCAATACTTATCAATATATATGATCGGGTCTCTAGAATTTTATGAATGACACATTTACTATTTTACTATTTATATTTGACAATTATTAATAATTAATGTAGTATATATAAACCCGTATAAAAATATTTCAAAAGTAATATAATATATAATTAATAATAAGCGTGGCCATTCCCCGGTCGAGCCAACCGATTTGTGCCACAAATATACTTTTAATATAGCTGCAGCATAGCCCTGCCACAAATAAAATATTTTACAATAATGATAATAACAAATTATAAAACCCATAAATGTGGATACTGACATGATGTCTTCCAACAGATCATCATCATCAGCATAAATAATGTAGATGAAGTCTGCGGGCGGATCATAGTTTGCTTCCAATTTGACATCTGTAATATGTTATAGAATAAATAAATAAAAACATATATTTTCACACCACACTGTATATCACATAAGTATTTGTATCATAATACATGCTAATAAATTATTTCTCTCTTTTTGTAATATAAATAATGCTTACAAAATGGATTATTCATGTAAATATATAATAAAAAAATATCAACAGAACTGTAGAATTTTATTCCGGTACCCCATTATATGACATCGATCCCTGACCATGAACACATTACACCACAGTAATAATCAATAATAATATTTTTCACACTAAACAATGTCATCATCATTATCATCATTACAGCCCTTCACAAGTCCACTGCTAAACATAGGGCTTCCTCAAGTAATGCCACAAGTCACGGTTCTGAGCCATCTGCATCTATCGACTTTCTGCATGTCTTACCAGGCCGTCACTCCATCAAGTGGGGGGCCGCTCTACACTACGCTAACAAAATACCACCTCTTTATCGATGTAAACTATTGACATATCCTATTACTATTCCAACCACTGCTGAATAATAGATTCAACGCCGTAGTTATATAAAATAAATATCAAAATGGCTTGCTGATTGTCGACTGTGGAGACTGCAATTTTATATGTTGAGTACATGGAATTTTTCGTACTTTTATTTTCAATAAAAATCGTTGTAAACTTCAATATAACACTTGTTTACGTTTATTTATTATGTTATATTACTTGTTTTAGTGGATTTACTTCACTACAAAAAGATTTTATTGTATTTTGATACCAAAAAACATTAAAAACCAAGCGTATGTCGGTAGCATGAAAATCACACTATTATTTATATATATTACTCGAAATATTTTACGTAAAAGGATAAATTATATTTACACAAAAACTTTTATAACAATTTTATAATAAAATACCATAAGTACTTACCTTAGAAAAATCCAAAAAAACAAGGCAGCACTGCACAATAGCAACCACACCCAAACGGCGCAATTTGAAAGCAGAATACAAATGTCTAATCATAGAGTAACAAGCTTTTTATTAAATTTGAGGTACGTAGTACTATTATTTATTCTATGTTAGAGGATAGAAAATTTCATATTGAGCCAATAATGTCAAACTTCTTCATAGAAAAGTAGTCTCTAAATGCAAAATTTTATGGGTTAAAGTGCTGTGGGTGTGTGGTCGGATTCGACCACTTGGAATTTGACGGAATATAGCCGTGGTTAGATCCGACCGCGTGCATATTGAGAGGTTAAGGCGACACCGCGAAAAAATGCACCTCCTTTCATCGAATAGTATAGGACTATGACACCTCTAACGAAAGTGGAATTTTGATATAGGTAAATTCATGTCTTTATCTTGAATTTGCTTGTTCAAAAACACGATTGTATAATTTTGACTCGTTCATAATTATTTGCGAAAATACATCTAAAAATCAATATAGTTGAAATCACAACGAAATTACTTAATCTATATCCTTGGGAATCACTCAAATATATTCATAACATCAATATTCATGATTTACTTGCTCATTATTTTCATTACTTAAATCAATAATTTTTTAAAAAATATTTTAAGATTCTAACAATTTCTAAGCGATTTTAATTGTCACGGGCACTACGCAATTTTAGATCTTAAGACGGCGTTTTTAAGCTTTTATAAAAATTATGTATTCACTCGGATCAGTAGGGCGATAGCCCGGAGCCACTTTTTCGATGTGTCATCTTAAAGGGTATAAAAGACGTGAACCTTAAATTAGGGTTACATTGATATGAACCCCCCTTTGTAATGCGTGCACTAACCGCCTAGTAATTGAATAGTTAGCCATCGCAGAATCTATACCTTCTCATGATGTCTCGTTATAGAAAAAACACGATTCATATTGTTGTGCGCCAAGCACCGAGTAGCAGAACTAGGAGATTTCTACACCTAGTCGGTCGGGACCGGTATGTACGCGAACATTCTAGATGTTTCAGTAGAAATGTAGAAAAGGGTGACACGGAAAATTCTCAGAAAATCAAAAACTGTTCACACTAGCAGGTTATTAGTTTTATTATATCTTTTCA